AGTGGTCGTTTCAGACAGACCGTCTTGTCACGGTGTTGCTCCCATCCCAACAATGATGGCATATTATCTGACAGGCTGCACAGTGCACACGTCAAACACACATGCCCACTGTTGTTGATGTGCCTCAACAGCCACACACACATGAGCACACACACATGAACACACCCACCCCGCTTTCAACTCACTGTCGCGGCGCACGGTGTTGCCGCCCACGATGATGGCGTCTGACAGGCTGCGCACGTCAAACACTCGCTGCCGCGCCTCCCGGCTCGTCACCCACGCCGCATGCCCCGTGGACGCTGCTATCTTGCCTGCGCGGGGAAGGGTGGGGTGGGGGATGCGCGACAGGAAAAAGGATGGGAATGGTTAGGAAGGGAGGGAATGGGAGCCCACGCCACACTGCCTGCCCCGTGGACGCTGCTATCTTGCCTGCGCGGGGGCATGGGGGAGAGGAGGGGGGAAGGATGGGAGTGGATTAGCATGGGTGGGTACACAAGGGATCTGAGAAAACGCCACAAACAAGCCCTTGTGGGACGCTGCTATCTTACCTGCACGTGGGGGGGATGGGGGACCGGATGGGGAACGGATGGGTCACAGTTGGGGGGAACTGATGGGAGACAGGATGGTGGAAGGATGGGGAAAAGGATGGGAAACGATGGGGGGAGGATGGCTGAACGGGTGGGGGAAAGGATGGGGGAAATTATGAGGAGAGGATGGGGGAGTGGACGGGGGAAAGGATGGGAGAAGTATGGGAGACGAATGGGAATGGGTGGGTACAGAGTGAGTTTAAGCAACCAGAATGACACTTCTAAATTGCATGCACGGGAACATGGGGGAGAGAACGGGAGAAAGTGGAAAGGATGGGAATGGGTGTGACAAGGATGGGAATGGGTGAAAAGGATGGGAGGGGTGGGAAGGTTGGCAATGGGAATTCCTGATCATGTGTCATATACAGCTTCTCACACACACGCTCATCCTTCTCCCTTCCTTCCCTCGTCCCCCAACCACGACCCAACACATGCACGTGCCATCGGGTGTCGCACACGCAGCAAACCAGGCCCCCACACACGCACTGACCATCGAGCGTCATGGCGTATTTGAGGATGGAGAAGGGCAGGCCTGTGTGCGCGCGGAACAGCAGCGCCTCGTTCACCACGCGACAGTTCCTCACCACGCCCTGCGGGGTGAGGGATAGGAGATGGGAGATGGGAGATGAAGGATGGGGCACAGGAGAGGGGGGATTAGGGCATGGGGCATGGGGATTGATGCATTAAGATTGGGCCCTGGGGCGTGGGACGTGGGGAATAGAGCATGAGCAATGGGGCATAGGGGCGTGAGAGAGGCACGGGACATGAGGCATAAGCAGGAAGACCTAAGGGGACCATACGTGCGATGGTAAGGTGACAGCGGGAGGGACAGGGCGAGAAGGGGGAAGGAAAAAGCGGGAGGGAAGAGGGGGTGGGTAGGTGGGGTCGAGGACAGGCAGCAAAAGACTCAGGACACGTGGAAGGGGCCGAACAGCAACAAATTCCCCTCTCTACTGCCCTACCTGCCCTGTTTCTGAGGCGCCTCAAACATAGGCAACTCACATCCATGTCCGGGTGGGCCAAGTCCCCTTCCCCCAGCACGTCCACCGTGACGCCCGCCTGTCGCAGCATGGCCACTGCCCTGCCGTGGTGGTGCGGCAGCGGGTTCAGCAGCCCCACCACCACTCGCGCCACTCCCGCCTGTGAAAAGATAGGAGCAGGGCCGTGGGACGGGTAATAAGATGGGAGGAAAGGGAGGGGTGGGGAAGAGGGGGACTAAACAATGGTGCGGCAGAGGGATCAGCAGCCCCACCACCACTCGCTCCACGCCCGCCTGCCGGGAGAAGGGAGTCAGGCAGGCAAGGGGACAGGGTTTTTGAGGCGCCTACAGAAGCAGCTCAGCCACTGCCGGAGACACATCCGCATGCAAGAAAATGGGAGTAATGTGGGAGGGCGAGGGGAAGGGGGTGGGAGAATGGAGGGGCCAGCCATCCCAGAACAGCAATGGAACGTATAAAAGGTTCATCGCCGTCCAACCCTCTTCTTCATACCGCTTTGACCTAATTCATTCCTTTTCCCGAACCAAATCAGATCTCTTCCTAATTTGAATAGAATCTCTGCACCACCCTAATCAAATTTCTCCTCAACCTGAATGAGAGCATGCACGGCGGTATCGTCGCCATGGCAATCCCCAGGCTCCAGATTCAGATACACGGTAGCTCCGCGCGCCGCTTCCCCCGCCGCCTCCACCGCCTGCTTCTCCGCGCTCGCAGTGCCCTGCGCGTGCAGCCACGTCTCCGCCACCACGCGCGCGTCCCGCCGCAGCAAGCACCCCGCGAAGGGGTGCGGCGCAGTGAGCCCCGCGGAGGACGCTGCCAGCTGCACCGCGCGCTCCAGCATCGCGCGGTCGATCGCGCGCGGATCTGCGCGCGAAGGGGGAGGGGGAGGATATGGCGGAGCGCACGCGCGCGGGGAAACGGGGAGGGGAATTGCGGACGTGGAACGGTGAGGATTCGCGGTGAATGAGGGAATATGTGAGTGGCCGTTAGGGTTCGCGAGCACACTGGAATCACACGACCGATCCGCTCGCATTCTCGTCAAATCGAAGTATGCAGCCTGTCACTGCAGCTACATAGCCTCCGACGCAACGGCGGTGGTCCGATCGTTGTTACTCCTTTTTTGCTCTCCAATCCTACGTTTGGATTCCATATCTACATTGTCCACTGAGGAGGAGAATCCTCGCTCACCGGAAGCATCTGACGGCGAGCCGTTTGCCGACCGGCAAACCAGCCGGCGATCGGACTCGGATCTCTGCTTCTGATCGTCCAGCGGGTCTCCGATCCGCATCTCAGCAGGTCGTCTTCGGCTTCGACAGAACGAGGAACCGTTTTGACGTCCAAATCCTCGGGGATTCCCCCCGGTCACCGCATCTGCTTCCCACGACCGAGCCACCGCATTCCCGCTCGACCACCTCTTGACAGATTTGGCGTTTTGAGGCCGCCCAACTTTTCCGGGAAGCTGCCTCGTCTCACGATTCCCTAGGTCACGCCTTGCGCGCACCGCTACGCTCCCTAGGGACGAACCCAATGCGGCCTCTCGGGCACTGAAGGCCAGATCCGCGGCAACGGCGGCCTCCATTGCTTTCTGCAGAGGTAAAATTGACCGAATGCGGTATTGCGACGCCGGGATCGGCGCCTGATCAACCGCCTGCTGCCAGCAGGCCTGGGCTAGGCTGGGTCGCAGCGGACCTCCAAGCCTTGAAGCCACGTAGGCAGTGGGAAAAGGCCTGAGGAAAAAAGGTCTCAGAAATGGTAGGCAAGGGGGAGAAAAAAAGGTTTCGACCAAGCGGTTTGGGGAGGGCAAGGCGGATGGTGATGGACAGGCCAGAGCACCACGAGTCAAACGAGCAAAGGGAAACTGAGGTTACCTATTTCGTGAGGCATCGTTTGACCCTTGAATGTTCAGGATGTTGCAATTTTTGCGAGCGTCTTCGCAACACTTGTGACGTGGCTGGTGTCAAGCTCAAGGCTGGGTTCAGTGACGGGTTGAGTCGTGGACATCGGACGTTCCGCAAGGCGAGGAGAACTGGTGTGGTTGCAGTGGCGTGTTGAATCCTACGGCTGGAATCCTATGGCGAGAGCTCCGTACGACTTTCGTGACGTGACACATGCCTTTGCTTCGCCCAGAGTGTTCGTCGCCTCTTAAAGGGAAAATATGCCACAAGTAACCAGCTTGGAACTCGATAACGTGAATGGTCACTGTATCGGGTTTTCTGACGGGTTTGGTAAGCGGGGTCACGGATTCAGTCACTAACAACAGGTAAAAAATCACGTGAATGGTCACACATGTAACTCCCGCCAAAAAAACTTGAAACTCAACAAAATTCCCGCTCGCGCCCAACCAATCTGCGAACTTGTAAAAAAACTAAAACCCAATCGGAATCGGATGCGGTTTGGGAACGGATCAACCCTAAACACCTGGCGAGTTACGTGTTTAGGGTTGATCATCCAAAAATGCATCCAGGTTCTTTCTGGGTTTCATTTTGTTTTGGCGGGAGTTTCATCTGTGACCATTCGCGTTTTTTTTTACCAGCTGATTGTGACTGATTCCGTGAAACGCTTTATCAGTCGCGTGAAAACACCCTTTGCAGTGACCGTACCCTTTATTTTTTTACCAAAAATGTTTTCGAGTCCCATGATGGTTACGAACGGCATATTTTCCCCCTTTCAAAGACAATGTGTAATGCGGTAACCAGCAGTGTGGCTTTCTAAGTTGCTTCTGTTAAAACCCATAAATTCTATTATGGGCAGCAGCAATGTTTAGACATCCCCCAACGCTTTTCCTACTCAGCCCATATATTCAGTCGCCTTCAATCGCGTACAGCTACACCATCAACATAGCCATCACCAACACCACTCCCCCAACCATCACCCACCACCAGCACCTCTCCGCCCTTCACGGATGGCTCCTCACCTATAACACTTCCCATGTCGCCCGTCCGATATGCTAGCCAAATTTTCGTAATCATTCATTTTCGATCAAATTATTCTTTCATTGTGGTAAACACCATGTCTTTCGCAATCGCCGTCGCGCTCCTGAGCTTGCTCGGCGCATCGCCGCCGTCCGTCACGGCGCAGATGCCCAACACGCCAGGCGGGCAGATCGGCGGCGAAGCGGGTATCGAGCGATCCATGTCTCTTTTCCGAGTGAGTTGTTCCTCCTAGAATGCTCTGAGAAGTACGACTAATCTAGCAGGCATCGACCGAGCCGTGTCGCATTTCCACGCGACTTCTGGCATGCACGTGCCTGCACGCAGAGAGATGTTTTAGTCGACGCGTGCCTGCACGCGGGGAGACGTTTTATCGAGACGGTTGAGTCCCCCGGCCTTAACGCCGTTTCATCCCGTCACCCCCCTCCCCGCTTCGATGTTATCAGGCATGGGAGGAAGCATACGGTCTAAAACCCGACATCGAAATGCCGCCCGAAAAAGTCACCTTGCCGGCGAGCGTGCCTCCCGCGCCGCATCTGGAGGACTGCGCGGCGCTGACGGAGGCGAGAAAGGTGGCGGAGCAGCGCGGAGCGAACGGGGAGTCGCCCGTGTGGGCTCGGCCGTCCAACTGCTGCGGATGCAACCCGCAACCCCCGTGGGTACGAGTTTCTGAGTCGACTCACAACCTGTGATTTCTGCAGGTGCGACCTGGGTATACGCAACCACCGTGGGTATGCGACATCCATCCATGGCACCTCTCGTGTCTCCGTCTCTCCATTTCTCCTCCTCTGCTTTCCCTTCGCAACCATTGACGTTCCCGCCTTCTCTCCTCGCCCCTCCCCTCCTCTCCACCCGCCGTGCTTCCTTCCGCCAGGTGCGCGGGGCGGACGCGGACAACCTACCGTTGACGCGCGTGGTGCAGAGGGACCTGTGGGAGTACCAGATGTTCTCCGGCACCTGCGATGGCAGGCGCCTTCTCGTCGTGCCCTGGTCCCTGGGTCGCCTGCACGGCGTCGGCTCTCAGGTGGGCACTGGAAGGAGGAAGCAGGGGGGTGGGGGGAAGGGGGGAGGGAGAGGGAGGTGGGGAGGGTGACGGGTGGGGAAGAGGGTATGGAGAGACGAGGGTTGAACTTCCGTGCGCGTCTGCGCGCCTTGTGGGCGTGCCATGGTCGTTATGGAGGCTGCACGGCGTGGGCTGGCAGGTGGGCGTTGAAGGTGGGATGGAGAGATTCGACTCGTGCCTGCCTGCTCGTCTGCCTGCCCTTCCCCTTCCCACCACTCAACCATGCACCCACCTTGTATCCATCCATCACCCTCCCACCACCCCGCACTCACCGCGACTCCCGCAGGTGCATGTGATGAGCGCGTTCCTGAGCATGGCCATGGTCCACAACCGCACGCTAGTGCCCCTGCCCGCCTCCTACGACCGCGCCACCACCACTGCTTGCAATGGTGGGTCTTCATGCTCCACGGTGCTCGCTCCACGGTGGCCAGGCAATGGGCAAGGGTCGACGGGCTATGAGAATAGATGGATGGGCAATGGCAAAGGGTTAAAGGTCTACCAGGGAGCTGTCTTTCGTTCCAGCTATGCTTCTTTGACCATCACTCACTCGTTCCATGCCCACAACTACGGCACGGACCGGGGCTGCTTCTTTGCCACATGCACCTGGAGCCTCCCTCCCTCCCTCCCTCCCTCCCTCCCTCCCTCCCTCCCTCCCTCCCTCCCTCCCTCCCTCCCTCCCTCCCTCCCTGTAATGTGAGGCGATTACCTCCCTGCTCCACCCACACTGCCACCCTATTCCCCTTCTCCCCCCCCCCTCTATCCCCCAGCCCCCAGCCACCAACGCGACGGCCCTCTCCTGTCGCTGCTTCCTCTTCCCCATAGTGAACCCCTGCTTCCTGCTTTCTCTTACCCCATGCTCACACCTCTTTCACACTCCCTTTACACATTCTCTAACGCCGCTCCTCCACCCCTCCTCCCCGTTCCCCCCCCCACCTCTTTCCACCTCCCCAGCCACGAACGCCACATCTCTCTCGTGGGACTGCTTCTTCTTCCCCATGGTGAACCCCCACTGTGAGCGGGTCGTGGCGGACATGGTAGCCAACGGCACCCTCCCCGCCATGTCCAACGATGACCATGGGCATGACCGCCTGGCTGCCTCCGCTGACCTGGTCGTGCATCTCAACCCCAATGTCGACAAGCAGATGGGCTATGACGCGCGCGCCGCCAAGTGAGTGGGAAGGGGGAGGGGGGGGAATGGGGACGGGATTGGGGGAGGGGGAAAGGGGAAAGGGGGAAAGAACGAAGAAGGGGAAGAAGGAGGCTTTTGTGTTGACTAGAAAGCTGCCTGGCCGCGTTGGCTGACCTGGTGGTGCATCTGAACCCCAATGTCGACAAGCAGATGGACTATGACGCCCGCGCCGCCAAGTGAGTGGGAAGGGGGGAGGGGGAAAAGGGGAACGTGATCTAGTCGACTCAACCAGTGTATGCACGCTCTCTGCTTGCACGTGATCTAGCAGCTCTCCTTGTTCCTCTCTGCCTGCCCGCCTCTTCCTCTCTCTGTTCCCCCATGTGCGCCCCTCCCCTCGGCGCCAGGCGGTGGGGCCAAAAATGGAAGGGGCATACAGAGCGACCTCAGGCGTGGTGGAGGAGTTTATGGAACTCATCTGTGGCCTCTTCCATTCCGTGGACATGTATGGAGCTCTCCTTGAGTTTCCTTCCCTGCTCCATCTCATCCTCCTCGTCATTCCCTACCCTGTATGCGCCCCTCCCCTCGGCCGCAGGCGGTGGGGCCAGGCGTATGCAGCGACGCCAGACGTGATCGAGTTCATGGGGCAAATCCCGCGCACGGACGACAAATACCAGATGGTGCGCTTGTGTTGTGTGTGCCATCGTGTGTCCACTCCACTCCACTGTCCACGTATGAGCGCGTGTGTGCGCTCGTGTGTGGAGGCTTGTTCAAGCTGTATGCAGCTGGAACACAACACACACGACGGCACGTACTGGATGCTGTGGCTTCGTGCATGCGTGGGCGTGTGTGTGTGAGCGTGCATGCGTGGGCATGTGTGTGTGAGCGTGTTTGTGTGAGCGTGTTTGTGTGGGCGTGTGTGTGTGGGCGTGTGTGTGTGGGCGTGTGTGTGTGTGGGCGTGTGTGTGTGGGCGTGTGTGTGTGGGCGTGTGTGTGTGGGCGTGTGTGTGTGGGCGTGTGTGTGTGGGCGTGTGTGTGTGGGCGTGTTTGAGTGGGCGTGTGTGTGTGAGCGTGTTTGAGTGGGCGTGTGTGTGTGGGCGTGTTTGAGTGGGCGTGTGTGTGTGGGCGTGTTTGAGTGGGCGTGTGTGTGTGAGCGTGTTTGAGTGTGGGCGAATCAGTCCTCATGGCACTCTAATATTAACTTGCAGGGTCCATGATTCATTCACATGGCACATGCCCACACCACCTTTTTCCTCCTGCTGCGCCTCCTGCTGCGCCTCCTCCCCTCCCCCTCCCTCTTCCCTTTCCCCATAGGCTTTATGCTGTGCACGTCCTCTCTCATCCTCTCCCCCATTACCTCATCCCCTCCCTCTCCTTTTCTCTCCCCCCCTCCCTTTTCCTCTCCCCCTCCTCCTCCCCCTCCCCCTCCTCCCCCCTTCACCCTCCCCTCCCCCAGCTGCTCTGCTGCCAAGCCCAGCCCATCCGCTTCATAATCAGCTGGCCCTTCCCCTTTCTCTTCCCCCTAATTCTTCCCTTCCCTTCCCACCCCACCCCCCCACTTTCTCCCTCATTCAGCTGCACTGGTGGCGTTCGCAGTCGGTGCGCTTCATGATGCGCTGGCCCTCGCCGCACATGTGCCACGCCACCAACAAGGAGCGCCACACCGCCTACGGCCTCCACACTGCATCCCACCTTGCACGCTTCTCCGAAACGCAAGCCGAGATCGTGCGGGCCGTCGTCACCAGCAGCAGCAACGGTACCACCTCGGAGCAGAACGTCACGGAGTCTCCAGAAGCGAAGCAACTCCTAGGGATTACCTTTGCTGCGCCGGGGAACCTGGAGACGCAAGTGTGGGCGATCCGAGGGTTCGAGGGGTGCAACGCCACGTGCATGGGCGTGGGGGATGTGAAGGCGATGCGGGATACGTACGTTGCGGTGGGGGAAGGCGAGCCGTTTATGATGCGGCCGATTGTGAGCGTGCACGTGCGGCAGAGCGACAAGGCGATCGAGATGAAGCTGTCGTCGTTTGCCTCGCACATGTTCTTCGCGCATAGGCTTCGCCGCCACGTGCCTGACCTGCGATACGTGTGGCTTAACACGGAGATGGAGGTGAGCTGGCTGGCAGAGATGGATTGATGGATGAGATTCATGGGTTTCTGAGGAGCCTGAAGAGAAGCAAGGGTGGTCAGTACAGAGGTAGAGGTGCTTTGATCACCAAGTGTGGTCTATAAACACATGTTTGCCCACCTCTTTATCTCTCTTTTTCCTGCAATCACTCCTACCTTTCCCCGACCGTTCTTCTCACCCTCCTCCCACCTTCCTAACCCTACCTTACCTCCCTCAACCGCCTGGCAGTCTGTAATAAAAGAATCCGCCAGTTACGCCGACTGGAAGTTCCTCTACTCATCCAACTCTCGCCAGCCCATCGACGCCAAGTCCAACCGCGACTACGAGTTCTCACAATCAGTCGCAGCGAGCTTCGCGAGCGCCATCATCGCGTCGCAGTGCGACTACTTTGTTGGAGCGCTCGGGTCGAATTGGAGCAGGTTGATTAATGAACTGCGGGCGACCAACGGGCGGCTGCGCAACGGGTTTGTAGCGATCAACATGGGGGACTGGTGACTCTGTTTTGAGATGTCTCAGGAGTGGATATACATGTGGGACTGGTGTAGACGGTCTGATGTTCTACAGTTTATGTAAAGACACATTTGGTTATGTGCAACACAGCTTTAATGAGTGTTGGTGTCCATGTTTTGGGGTCATTCTTTTGCTGAGAAATAACATGGGTGTATGCACATAGCAGATCACAGAAGGCATCAGGGTAGAGATTGAGATATGAACCACGTATACGAGCCAATGAATGCATATACCATGCTTTTCACACCCTGCAGCATACATACAACATAGCCATAACACTACCGTATGTACAAAGCCACAACCTCACTAGGGAAGGGGGAGGGAGAGGAGGTGGAGGGTTGCATGGGGGAAGACGGGTGGAGATGCGCGATGATGCGCTGTGCGAAGCGTGGGGGCTACAGCACATGACATGGCATACAGTTCATTGCATGGCACAGGGCATTACATGGCACGGCATACAGCACATGGCATATCGGTACATCCATGTACCACAATATTTTCCTAACAATGTTGCATTCCTTCCACAAAATAATCTTAGTGCAAAAAACAGGCTCTATTTCCATCTTATTCACACAGTTAGCCAGGCGTCCACTGGTACCGTAGTATAAACCTGAACTTCAGAGCATCATCAAATAAATGAAAGATAAGATCCTTTGCCGAGCTTTGTTCATGCAATGTAGCACTCCACATCCCCCTCAGAAGCTGACGTAGCTGAGGTACTCAGCATACTGTCCTGACTGGAGGCCGATTGGAGCTTTCAGCAGGTCGTCAGGAATGCCAAAGGAGTCCACAAGCTCCTTGGCCATGCCCCTGGCCTCGTAGCAGAGGAACTCCACAAGGCGGTGAATGGCCTGAAATGCGAAGGACAGATGTTAGGAAGGTGAAACGTCAATGGGGAGCTTTTGGCAAGCTAAAGCTGGAAAACGCAGAGGTGGGGTACACGAAACGAATCACAAAGTCAGGCAGGAAAAGAAAGGGAACAAAAGGGGCAGGGGGGTTTAGGTATGGCCCATATGAGAGGTGAAATGGAAGAGTACCTTGGCTTTGTTGGGCGCAACATAATCCTCATTTCTGTACGTTCCAATGTCACCCCAGATGCGCTCCAGCGCATATAGATCACACATGGTCTTCAGCGCTGACTTGCATGCCTTGTCCTCGCATCTGAGAGCAACAGCAAAGACATGTTAACTTCCCAAAATGTCATGCCACAAAAGAAACAGTCTGATTACTTAAACGAGCTCACCTCTCGACTGCCTTGATGAACCTTGCCAGGATCACCGACTCAACATGGGACTCGGCAAGGACCAGCAAGTGGTTGAGACAGCGGTTCCACGCTTCGAATGATCCCATTCGCCTTGAGTGCTTTCGTAACCGAAGCGCTGCCGTGTGAAGCAGCTTCGCGGTGCGGTACTGCATATGGGAAGGCGAAGATAAGGAAGATTTCCGAAGGAACAAAAAGAAGCTAGAGTTGACTGCGTGAGAATGTGGCAGTGGCATCGGGTGCTTACATGGTCACATAAAAGACTCACCTGGAAGGCATCGAGCTGGAACTGAGGGTCCCTCAAGTGCGATTGACCTTCACGATGAGTTGTCACTGGGTTGGTCTGAGCAAGGTACGTGCCCATGGAATCACGGAGGTAGTTCCAGCCCACTGAAAGAGCACCACCTGAAAACTTCTCCTTGTAATGCTTCAGAAGGTCTGCTGCTACCTGCATTGATCGTGATATCAGAAAGAAACCGTCAGATTCAGATACTCATAGACAGACTACCTCTCGTTAAGAAGTATGGAACATACCTGCTGCAGCAGAACAGTGTTATCGCCCTCGAACGTTTGGAAAATGTCATGGTCGTTGCGCATCCGGCCAAACCTGTTCACCGCTGCGTAGCCATGGCCTCCGCATGCCTCCCTGGCATAGTGTAAAGGAGTGGAGAGAATGATTAAGACGTTGAGATACTGATGCGGCTACATAAGTGAAGAGAAAGTAAGAACCGACAAAAAATATCACTGTACCTGCATGTGCTGATTGCAGCCTGGGTGTAGGACGTGACATAAGCCTTAAGACCTGCGGAAAGGACGTGGACCTCTGACACCAGGGCTTCATCCTTGGTTCGCTTCATTTCCGCATACTGCTGCACAAGTTCATTTGTTGCGAAATGGAAGGCATACGCTGATGCAAGCATCGGCATCAGGCGCTGCTGCTGTGACTGGTAGTCAAGAATTGCAATTTCAGGCTTGTTAGGCGGCCCGAACTGCTGTCGGAGGAGCGAATAGCGCACAGCGATGGTTGATGCTGCTTTCAGGATTCCCACAGAGCCGAACGCAAGACCAACTCGGCCTCCGACGAGTTCTCCCAACGTTGCGGCGAACCTCTTGTTCGCGCTTGAAATCTCACTGCATGCATTCCACACATATCAACATGAGACAAAGCCAGAAAGCTTCCAAAGCCTTCGAAACCGCAATAGGGGAAACGTACCTGCTATACTGGCCATCGGCAGAGACAGTGCCAAATCTGTTCAGCATGTCCTCTCGCGGAATCCGAACGTTATGGAATCGAATAGCTCCGTTGTCAATCCCATTCAACCCGACTTTGTAACCGCAGTCTCGGATCTCAACTCCTGGTAGAACGCTGTTGTCCTCCAAACTCCTGTGAAGACACAAAAGCCTAGTTAAGAACAAGGTTTGGAAAAAAACAAAACAAAAATCACTGGAGACGTACCTCAGAGGGACAATGAAGGCATGCACACCCAGGTCCTCCAAAACTTTTGATGTCGGGGACGGAAGCCTCAGCCGTGCAAACACTGTTGCGAACTTGCCATGGCAAGCAGCGTTGCCAATCCACCACTTTGTAGCGCCCTCATTCGGCGTGTTGATGATGAACTCGTCCGTTGACCTGTCAAATGTTGCTGTTGTTTGAATCCCTTGGACGTTTGATCCTGGGAGACAGGAGAAATCGGTGTTAGTAAGGGGACCAAGGGAGAAAGAAACACGAGAGATAAAAATGGGGGCTATAACATCACGGCTTGTGCCTTACCGTGGTGAAGCTCGGTCATGGCAAAGCATCCAGGATACTCAAGGCTGTCGATTTTGTCGAAGTACTTGTCAAAATGACGCTTCGTTCCCAGGTTCAGAACACTCCCACCCCAAAGGCTGCAATAATGACAATCGAAGCATCGTAAGATGTCAACACTACAAGTAGCTGTAAGTCAACTTCTTGCAAATGGCTTACCTGTACTGTACTCCCGTTTTGATAGCAAGTGATAGGTCGATGTGGCCAATAGCTTCTGAAATGGCGAAATATCTCGTCGGATCCTCAACAAGTGCTTGCAGAGGCCTAACATTGGCCTCTCTGACAAGGCCAAGCATCTGCTGAAGAACCAGCTCTCTGTGTTTGTCCTTAGAGATCTCGACGGGAGTTTCCAGTTCCGGATGAAGCTTGAAAAAACGATAGACCTGGTCCTTCACAGCTTGATGAGGACCGGCCATATAATCTGCGAGCACAACCGCGCTCAACGGGCGCCGAACCAAGGACCTGGCACATGACTCTGCACTTAACTGCCTCGTTCCGTCCTCGAGAACTGTTGAAGCTTCAAGATGGTTTGCAAGTACTTGAAGCCGCATTGACGCAGCTGCAGCGCTAGCTCCCTCCGCAGGCTCCATTATCGACGGTACACCGAGAACAGACAGGACGGAGGACTTTCCCACACTTCGCAAGTCTAAACTCAAACTAAAGAAGCAGCTGGCTTCAGGATAACTCCCACACCCAAAGCCTTTCTACCCGACAGTCCCGGGAGTTCTGATGCTTTCAGTTTGCGTCAGGACAGGACTTTCTCCACCTCATCACCAACCAACCTACAATGATGGAGTCGAGGTGGACACTGGACTGGACACCGCCCACGCAGCGCGAATTGGAGGATGACTTCTTGGTGGTCCAAGATGACTCGACATGGAGTCACATTCACAGCAATCCACCGCATTTCAAAAGGTCCTCCCTAGAGAGCTCCCAGCTTTTCGCCATTACACTTGCTCACTCTGCACATGATATAAAGTCATTACCTTAATCAGCTACATTCTATGGGCATAAAGACAGCCAGCCTCCTCTATACAACAATGGTGGTATGATATGGAACACAGAGACACGAATGGAAAACTTTGCCAGATATCTCTGTAGTACAACATTGGTTACCGTATAACATGCAAAGGCACAAGAATGTTTGGAATTAATGAACAATACATCAAATATGATAGAAAAATACTTGTTTTCATCATAAACAAATATATCTTAAGAGCTAGAGCGAAATGATAGAGTAGTAGGAGAACGGGGTACAATTCAAGTGTCGAGAGAATCATGTACCTTCTACTGTGAACCTTACTACAGGCTAGAAATCTTACAAACATATATGCAACATTTCACACACCCCCATAGCCTAAGTGAGGGGCATCAAAGCAATCAAGGTAAACAAATGGTAAAAAGACGAGTCAAGAGAAGCAACAAGACAACGCTCAGGGTGGATCTCAAGATCACTAGACATTCCGAGCACAAGCAGACGACCACAAGGCCAGTTCAAGAGGGAAGGACGGATGACCTAGAAGGTGGTGCCACAAGATGGACGGGTGGGAAAGGGACCGACAGGAGCAAGACGCAACAACCTGACCGGACACAGCAACCTGAGGGGAAGCAGCTACCTAGGAGTGCAGGACGTAGAGACCGGAGCGCGGCTCCCTGGTAAACGTGGCAAGAACGACACTGGTGGCAGCGTCCGTACATACCGGAATCTTTCCGTGCCCCATAAAGGTAACTGAGACCCCTCTATCCTGGAGGTAGCCAACACCCACCAAGTTCCGAGTGAATGAGGGAACATGGAGATCTTTAAGGACACCAGAGGGGACCGCAGGGCACGAGAGGGTGGTGGAGCTGCGTGCAACGGCTGGTCTTGAGGTAGGATCAGCAAGAGCTACCATAACAGGAGCAAGGAGTGGTGTGAGT